CATTCCTGTAGGTGCATTAAATTATGTCTGTTGGTATACTTAAACGTTTTGGTGGTGTCCTCAAAACTAGCACGAAAAAGTGGACACTGTTCGGCGTTACCGTTGAATTTTGGCAAATCATAAAGTCGGATGCCTTCGCCTCCTGAACATACGACTTTAGCAGTGCACCGTTCGTCTTCATCTTGATCTATCTTACCTATTTCATCTTTCTTTTCGTGCGTTACCGACTTATCGTTGGCAAGTTGTCCACGCAAATTACTTATGTCTTCCCGATTCGAAACTGTTTCAGCTCGAACTTCATTCACTGTTTGTTGTAGAGCTTGTATGGCTTTTAACACATCTTGCATTGATGTCTGCTCTTGACATCTTGACGATACTGGAGTCTCACATGACGATTTATTATTTCTGCGACTCATCTTTAATTTATTCACTTTGCCTTTTCCCGCGTTTTTCCCGGCGTCATATATAAACGAATGTTATTTTAACGGAAAGAAATGTGAAAACATGCAATCTGTTATGTAAATACCGAAAAATATTTTATTGACAAATAATTCTATTCTATTCGTTACAATTACTTCATTATTCATTTATTTTATATTATTTTACGCGCAACGTGAGGGTTTCACATTTGTGTGTCATTTCCGCATTTTCGTAAACTACTAAAATATAGAAATAATATCTCCATGTTTTAAAAAAAAAAATTTTTTAGCGGTAATAGTTTAATTTTAACTTTAATTTCACTTAATTTCATTTAATTATAAATATATAGAGAATATTTTATTTCAATACAAACTAAATATTATACAGTAATGTAAAATAAATATCTTTATACAAGAATATTATACAACTTAATGTAAACTTAAATTTTATATCAAATATATATAATAATTTTCTTCATCGAATTCGTTCTAATTAAAATCAATGAAACTTTCAGCCGCTCTTGCTTCGTTTGCTAAAAGGATATTAACTTCAGTCATATTCCCTGTACGACCATTTTCTCTTTACTTACCAAATAATTCTTGTTTTGACTACGTTCTCAATTCTACTTATATGTCTATATAAATTATTAAGTAGAAATGTATTATTTTTATTTTTTATTTATGTTTCTTCCGTTTCTTGTAAACATTTGCGATTGCATTGTGCATGCCAGCTAAAAGTTATGAAATAGAAAACAGAGCACAGTCGCTCAACTAATTATTGTGTTTTGCGCATAATTTTTAACCGATTTTGCTCATCCGTATCTTATTAAAAATATATTTTAATTATCTATCAAATGAGTATATATTAATAACTGTTGAAACAAGTAACAAAGATAAAAAATCACCTCGAATTGAAAAATTTCTGTTTTTTGTACTGAAAACCCAACTTTGCTCGAGTGGCGCAACGTCATTTTTAATCCTATTGTTCCAAAACTTTGGGAATATCATTTTTAAGGTCAATGGCATATTCCTAGGGGGTGCGCTCATTCAAAACTTCATTTTCAATTTTCCCCCTTATAACGTGAGCCACCCTAATGCGTTACTGTTATACAGTGGAATCGAATTAGCAGTTAAGCAACTTTGTGTTCTAAAAGAACATTGATTATTATCATCGTTAGCTTGTCTCAGGAGCAAGCAAATGGCCGGTCCTTTCTTTTTAAGACTATTGCTCAATTCAACAATAACAATAGCTAAATAAACAAAAAGGAAAAACACAGGTGTTTCTTTATATACATTCAGGATACACAACACTGATTACACAAAAAAATTTATTCATACAACCCATGCATCAAACATAGCCTTAGGAGCTGTTTTAGAACTTTCAACAAAATTGAACGTAATTATGCAACCAACGAAAAAGAGTTATATTTCATTATATGGTCATTACAAAATTTGAGAAATTACCTATACGGAGTTTAAGATTTGGAAATACATACAGACCTTCAATCGTTATCATTTGCCGTTTCAGCACGAAAGCCCAATTCAAAAATGAAACGCTGGCACGCTTTTATAGAGGAATTCTCTCCAAAAATTATAGCAATGTCGTCGCAGACGCTTTATCAAGAATACACTTGCATAATATGACTAATAAAAAAAATAGTTCTACTACTGATACTCAACGCTCAGCAGCTACCATGAAACAATTCATGAAACCAAAAAACCTCTTAATCAATTTTGGCAACAATTATTGATTGCCAGAAATAAATTCATAATTCACGAATCTCTGAACATTTTCGAAAATACTAGACATTTAATCGAATATGACGCCATAGAAAATTTGATAATAATACTGAAGGAACATTTACGAACAAATATACTGACAGGGATACACACTTGAGGATCGTTACGTGCTTTGTATTTAATTCAACCAAAGGTTTTATGCTTTGGCGTTTCTTGTGTTGTTTACAAATGTGTTTTTGACATTTGTTTTAAGTTTTTTAAGTTTAAGTCAACTTTAGGTATTTCAGTAGCTCCAGTGCACCGCCAATTCAGTTTTAACACATTAAGTATCAGGCATGTTCAAACTTGAAATTTTATGGTGAAATTTTCAGAAAGGTCTTATTTTACGTTCAAAAAATTCCCTGCAAAATTTAATTTTTTTTTGAAAAGTAGTTTTCCGGAAAAGTGCTGTGTGGTCAACCACACGCTGGGCCCCATAGCACATTTTTCTCTATTCGATAGAACAAACATTTTTATATGAGTTTTGTTCGCAAATATGATATTTAGTTACTTTTATGATTAAGTATCCATCATTGTAAGTTGTATAAAGTACAAGTAAGTACAAAATTCAATGTTTATGACCATTTAAATGGCACTTTTCATATATAAACACGGTGGCTTTGGTAAATTTCCCGGAAGATAAACATCTTCTGCAGCATTGTGACTTTTGTTTTTCAAATCATCGTATGCGGTAGCTTTTGTAATGAACATTGAGTTCATTGATGGAAGACGAAGGTTTCTGGCAATGAAGTTCTTGAAATCTAACTGAGGCATCGGTTTTGTGTTGGTAGAAGCAGCGACAAAGCAATTTAGTTTCCAAGCGTTTACTACAGCGCTATCTAAACACTGTACCTATAATGGCCACCACCTCATTTTGCTTCTATTCCCGATACGATAGTTAACAACTCCATTGTCATATAAATCAGCGCCGCCCATGTGTCGGTTGTAGCTATTGATAACTTGGGACACCAACCTTTTTTTTTTCTCTGCTATTGCGTTGCACGTTTACTATGGGTTCAACGGAATCATATGTATGTTGCAATGGATACTCACAATGGCTTAATAATTTCTTTACAACTAATGCACCGATTTCGAACTGTTTGTTCTATTTGTCAGTTGCACAGTATGGCAGAATCTGGAAGATATATCTATTATCCAAAGAAAGGGTTCATAGCTTATAACCCAAACATATTGGTTTTACAAGTTCCAATGTGAATAGTTGCGACTCAGGCATTTCTACAATACCACTATAATCTTGTGCATTTGATTCGTATACACCGTCAATAGCACCTAAATACTATCTCAAAATTTGACACGCGGAATTCAAAAAAGGGAACAAAATTTTAAAGTCGCATGTAACGTTTGTTGATATTTCATCTTCGTCAATCATTTCATTGTCTGATTCACCAGCAACATTATCAGATGGCAAACATTATTATTCAATAGGTAGCAGAGTGTCTCTTGGCACTAATGAGTCATCTTCGCTCCAATTGTCAATAATATGCAATAGTTCCTGATTTCTTAGATATCTTCGGCACGACATTATAGTTTTATTTACAGTAAAAAATTGACGACAGAACTTTTAGCATGAACAAATGTAAGCCCTATATAGAACAATCAAATTCAGACTAACTCAACCAGCAATCAAATTTCAAAATAGACTTATTACTATTATGCGTAGTAAAAAACACAAGTTTAAGTTAATTAGAAAAGTATGATATTTATTAGAGAGATTACTCTCATTTTATTTCATTACCTAACGACAAACATTTATATGACATTGTTTCATCATTATATTGTTATGGAACCCAGCGTGTGGTTCACCAAACGTCTTATTTTCGCCGGCGTCTGGTGGCAAGTAACTGTTACTAAGGCGCCGGCAAAAATCACGAAAATTATATTTGGACTTTTATGAACACATATTATAACAAATATATTAGTTTTTATTTCTATTTGTTTTAATTTTCATTTAATTAAAAAAAGCATTTTTTTGGACACTTTTTGTTTCGGACCAGGTAAACTCATGAACAGATGAAAAAGTAACAAAAATAAAAAACATTAAATTAATTACTTTTATATATTTTTAAATAATTTTCAAATTTAACCGTGTCGTGTACCATAGCGAGGTACGAAATGGGTTAAAACAAAATCCACAATAATATGTAAGTGAAATTTAACAATAATGAGTCTTTTTTAAATCGATATTAGATTAATTTAAATTAATGTTATTTATAAAATATCATGGGTGTGAATTTATGTAGGTTCGAAATATGTGAATATTTCCATCCTTACAATATAAAACGGCAATGAAACGAAAACATTACATAAGAATAACGCAAAGTTATTTCAAAGATAAAATATAGAACAAAAAAAAATTTTTTTCACGCTATTACCGTTAAAAAAATTTTTTCTTTTTTAAAAACAAGGAGATATTAATTCATATTGTTCGCCAGCTTCACCCTTTATGTTGACATTTACCACTGTTGAGTTTTGAGTCACCTTCTCTTCATCATACCACTGCATCGTTAAGTGTTGTTTCTTGCCTTTAAGGCCTAACTGACTTGCAATTTTGGCATCTAATATAGTGATTGACGACCCTTCATTCACAAGTGCGAAAATATTCAGTTGTCCATTTGGACCTATAATTTTTATCGGAACCAATTTAAAGAGAAAACCGGAACATGGCTTGTCACAACTCAAAACCTGTTGAACTGATCCAGACGTAGGCGGCACTTGTTGGGACTCATGTAGCAATCTATTATGATTTTTACGGCAACCGTTTATACCGCAGGATCTTTTCATTCAGCACTGTATGACATTGTGTCCTTTCCGCAAACATGAAAAACACGAACGAAGCTGCTTCACCTTTACCCAACGCTGCTGAACATTTTTACTCAAAAACGCTTCACATGTAACTATCAGATGTGGGCCTGCACATTCAAAACACTTAACTTCCAGGTGATTTTCTTGTCCCATCTCATGGTTTTGTGCATACATAACTCGGCGCGTATAATTTTGAGTAGCTGGCATTGTAATTTTAGGCTTTTCGGCTTTTGATTGACACAATGGCTGTGGCAAAAGGCAAATTATTTTCGCAATCTCACTCAACCAAACACTAAATTGTTTTATTGTGGGATATTCCTTCAGAGTTGTAGCGTGACGCGCCCACTCGAATTGTTTACTAGGTGGCAGCTTATACACTAGTTGTTCTAATAATATTGGGTTGTTCAAGTGTTGCTCACACTTGGCTGATGACAAAAAGGCCACAAAATTTCGCACAAGAGAGGATAAGGCAATTAAACTATCAACGTTCCTCTCCATCACTCTCTCGAACTGTTGAATCTTGTCCAACTGGGACCGTATTAGTAAATCTAGGCGGCCAAAACGAAATTCAAGTTCTTTCATAACTGCAAGCACATTTGATGGGTATATTAACAGTGACTGAACGACATCCTTGGCTTCATGCATTAGGCATTCCTGTAGGTGCATTAAATTATGTCTGTTGGTATACTTAAACGTTTTGGTGGTGTCCTCAAAACTAGCACGAAAAAGTGGACACTGTTCGGCGTTACCGTTGAATTTTGGCAAATCATAAAGTCGGATGCCTTCGCCTCCTGAACATACGACTTTAGCAGTGCACCGTTCGTCTTCATCTTGATCTATCTTACCTATTTCATCTTTCTTTTCGTGCGTTACCGACTTATCGTTGGCAAGTTGTCCACGCAAATTACTTATGTCTTCCCGATTCGAAACTGTTTCAGCTCGAACTTCATTCACTGTTTGTTGTAGAGCTTGTATGGCTTTTAACACATCTTGCATTGATGTCTGCTCTTGACATCTTGACGATACTGGAGTCTCACATGACGATTTATTATTTCTGCGACTCATCTTTAATTTATTCACTTTGCCTTTTCCCGCGTTTTTCCCGGCGTCATATATAAACGAATGTTATTTTAACGGAAAGAAATGTGAAAACATGCAATCTGTTATGTAAATACCGAAAAATATTTTATTGACAAATAATTCTATTCTATTCGTTACAATTACTTCATTATTCATTTATTTTATATTATTTTACGCGCAACGTGAGGGTTTCACATTTGTGTGTCATTTCCGCATTTTCGTAAACTACTAAAATATAGAAATAATATCTCCATGTTTTAAAAAAAAAAATTTTTTAGCGGTAATAGTTTAATTTTAACTTTAATTTCACTTAATTTCATTTAATTATAAATATATAGAGAATATTTTATTTCAATACAAACTAAATATTATACAGTAATGTAAAATAAATATCTTTATACAAGAATATTATACAACTTAATGTAAACTTAAATTTTATATCAAATATATATAATAATATTACTTAATACTTTACTATATTTTAGGAATAAACTAGGAGACCCCGCGAACTTCGTGCCGCTTAACAGTCAATGAATGTCATATTAAATTCAAGGTAAACTAAATTTAGAAATTTATTAACGTAATAAAATGAATACAAAAAATTTATTATGTTCAATAGTTTATTAGGATATTAATATACCTACAACCAATTATTTCAATAGTTTGTCAGTAAGAAGCACTCCGATTGATTCTCTTCAGTAAAGTACCTTCTGATATATTTTTTATTTTTTTTTTATCAGGCAGAACAAATAAAGCAGATGGTTTACCTACAGGTGAACATGCCACGTACAATTGACCATGAGAAAATATATATTTTCTAGATTCAGACCACAAACACTCAAGGATTGGCCTTGTGATTTATTTATCGTCATGGCGAATGCAAGCAGAATAGCAAATTGAATTCATTTAAACTCAAAGGGCGTATCGGTTAGGATCATTGGAATCCTCGGAATGAGAACTTTATCACTTTTGAATTTTCCTTTGAGTATCGTTGCATGAATCACATTGACTATCAGTTTTGTTATAACCAATCGCGTTTCATTGCATAGTTTTGGTTGGTTTCGATTTCGAATCATAATGACTACCGAACCAACCTTTAGTTGTAAATTGTGCGGTGGTAAACCAGGCACATCCAAGTTCAAAAATTTAGTTGGATAGTTGGTAGCTTCGTCTTCGTTTGTTACACAGTCAATAAATTTGAATATATGCAGAGTACCAACTATTTGATTTTGAATTACATAGTTTAAGTCATCCACATCTTTGTTCTTAGCCGCCAAAATTGCTCGCTCACTCAATCATTTGTTATTTTTATGATTATCAATAATGTTCGGAAATACTTCATTGATGAGACAAAATTGCAAAAATTTGAAGGAAACGAAATTAATCTGCTCGATTTTTCAACAGGCAATTGCTGACATATGTACATATCAGGCCATACCCGATTGTCAGCAATTGCTTGGAGAAATACCACTTTTAAATACTCTACAAGTTAAGTAATTTGACTCGTCTTTTTGTCATTTTTTTATGACAAAAATTCTGCCGCATAATTTATGGTATGATTTCAATATGCGGTTGGCTGTTTCGATTTGCATATTTATAGTAGAACACATGGGAGTAAACTGTGTTTTCCGCAATTATATTAAGAATTAGATTTAAATTAAGCAGGTATTACCGCAATAGAGTACCTAGTTTGTGAACATAATAAATATAATAATTAAACATTTAATAATTTATGCTTTAATTAATATGTAGAATGTGTAGTTAACTTCCACATATTCGATAAATTGGGTGCTTAAAAATGTCTGTTGTTGTTTTAACGTCAGCTACTCGGATACATCCATTTGTACCCTTATACACGTGAACAATTCATCCCAAGGGTCACTGCATCTTCTTTGATTATAACCATGTCTATTAACTGTATGTTGGCAGATTGTATTTTCCATTTTATACGTTGTTGCAGTGTAGTGTATATATGTGTATCAGAATGCTTAACAGCACAATATTTTATTAACATTCCATTCCCATACTTTGTTGCACTGTTTATGCAACGGGAATACGAAACCTCACATGACGTACTTAACCCTCTGTGAGTTTATGCTGAAGCAGAAATCACACATATGCGCACTTACTAGAATAAGATGTACATACGCTGAGACGTTATGTACTTAGCGATAAGAAACTATGTAATGCTTAGCTCAAGACAACTGTCCGCTGAGCTTCGCTTTAATTTTAAGAATCATTGCTAACTCAATATAAATAAACTACTCGAACTGAAAACAACATGTATTTTCATTGCGGTTACATGGCGATCTTGCCAGCCTTTTTTTTCGGATATTTATTTTGAACTGTACTAATTAAATTGTACTAATTATTGGATTAATTAAAGTATCGGTGGTTAAAATTCGTGGCTTTGAACGGTGGATAAGTACCTTGCGAGTACATTAAAAAAAAAAATGATAATAATAAAAATTAAAAATAATAAACTTTGGAATATTGTTAATAAACTTTGGAATGATACTTTGGAATATTGCTAATAAACTTTGGAATATTGCTTTGGAATATCATACAATATTCAGCAACACTAAGGAATATAATTACGAAGTACAAAAACAATAAATACAAAAACAATTGTGTCAAACAATGTCAAATAGTGAAACAATAAAACAAAAACTTGAACTACATAGACCAAGTTCTACAAAATCTTTTGCAGTCTGCAGTAAAATAAGAGTAACAAAAGAAACTTTTGATAGGCATTTTAGTAACTTGACTAACAATTTTGAGCTAGCGAAACAAAAAGTTAATAATAACAATAAAGTTCTAACATTAGAACAAAAAAAGACTACTTCTAAGATATTAAAAGAATACGAAGAAAAGATAGCTAAACTTTTAGTGCAAAGAGGATTAGAATTGAAAAAAGAAACAAAAATAGGAAGTGAGATAGAAACATCCGCTTCGGAGGACGCACTGTCAGAAGTAGTAGAGTTATCTCCAGAAAATTTAAATATGACACGAACGGTAGTAGAATTTCTTAATACGGCCTCCAGAATCATTCCTGATTTTGATGGCAAATCAGAAAATTTAACTTCATTTATAGATGCATTGCAACTATTACAAACGTTTACAGGTGAACATGAAGTGGTCGCTGTAAATCTAATAAAAACTAAATTAAAAAGTACGGCCCGTAACTTAATAACTTCAGAAAACACCGTATCTGAAGTAATAAAAAAGTTGCGAAACAGCGTAAAAGGAGAGTCTCCTAAGGTCATTGTAGCAAAAATAATGAACATAAAACAAAATAATAAATCAGGTAATGTCTATACTAAAGAAATCGAAGAATTAGCTAAAACCTTGGAGTCTGCTTATATCTCCAATGGTGTACCATCGAACAGTGCCAATAGATACGCTACAGATATAGCCGTTAAAGCTATGACTGCTAACTGCAGCCATGATAGAGTTAAACTTATTATGAAAGCAGGAGAGTTCAATAACATGAGCGATGCGGTTACAAAATTTGTAAACAGTTGTACTAATGTTTTAGGTCAAAATGCTGTACTGAACATCCGAAAGGAAGTAAACAGAAATCAGTACCGAGGTGGAAATTCTTATCGAACTATAGAGGTAACTATAGAAATTATAGAGGCAGATCAAACTTCCGTGGTAGAGGAAGGAACTTTAATAATTTCACTTATCAAGGTAATAATTATACAGGTTACCAAAATACAAGCAGAGTCTTAAATCGCAACAGAAATGTTAGAGTGATGGAAGCAAGACCGTCGGAAAACCAAGAACGCCCAAGTACATAAATCAAAAAGCTATTTTCAATATCAACCTTAATTTAAGTAGTTTCATCAAAGTTCGCACTAGTACTAATGAAAATATTTCAACATTTATAGTTGACACAGGAGCGGACATATCGCTTATAAAAGTTAGTAGTATTTTAATTGGAAGCATTAAAACTTCCCACACTGTAAACCTTAACGGTATAGGACAAGGAATAGCCACAACATTAGGAACCATCACAATTGATCTTAAAGTTGAAAATACCTTAATTAAACATGATTTTCATGTAATACAAGATGATTTTCCAATACCTTCTCATGGCATCATTGGTCTGGATTTTATCAAGAAATACAGTTGTATACTTGACTATAAACGTGACCAAGATTGGATAATACTTAGACCAGATGACTTTCCGGAAGACATCGGAGTTCCTTTACACGATGCACCCTCAAGTAATACAATAGCATTACCCGCTAGATCTGAAACAATTCGTAAAATCGTTCTTAACAAATCATCTGAAACTCTATTAATTCCAAACCAACAAATAAGTGGTGGCATTTTCATAGCAAACACTATAGTTAACGATTCACATTCATATGTTAGAATTGTAAACACAACAAATAAACATGTTGTCATTAAAAATTATGGCATTAAAACTGAAAGTTTACATGATTATGACATACAAGAATTAAATTTTGAGTCTGATACGAAAACTAAAGAAAAGTTAAATAAACTATCAAAACATTTTCCAAAATTTGTTAAAGGAAAACTAAATATATAGATGTGTTTGCTTTAGAAACTGATAAAATATCAGTAAATAACTTTTATAAACAGAAACTCCAGCTAAACACCAATAAACCCTCTCACATAAAAAACTATAGACTTCCCCATAGCCAAAAAGAGGAAATATATAATCAGGTTGATAAGCTCATAGCAGATGATATAGTTGAACCCTCAACATCACCTTATAATAGCCCAATACTATTAGTTCCGAAAAAATCGTTACCGGGAACTAAAAATAAACGATGGAGATTGGTGGTTGATTACAGGCAAATTAATAAAAAAACTTATTGCCGACAAATTCCTACCGAAATACTACCGACAAAATACTACCGAAAATAGATGATATTTTAGATCAGTTAGGTCGAGCAAACTATTTCTCATGCCTTGAGTTAATGTCAGGTTTTCCCCAAATTGAGCTCGAA